CACAGACGCATCCTGTATCAAACACACAGTCACCTACACTCACACACACACACACACACACTCACTGACAAACACACGCACACTCTCACTCACTCACAAACACGCACTCTCTCACTCACACACACACACACACACACACACTGACGCAGAACGGGGGTGGTGCTTGTCTTTACTGATGTCAAACACTCGGGCAGCAGACGAGCGCTCACAGGTGTGTGTGTGTGTGTGTGTGTTACTGAACCTCCTCTATCCAAACGCAGTATAATCGTCAGATGTGAGCTCGACTCGTCAGGTCTGCGGGGCCTCTGCAGTGGATTCTCATTCAGACACGAGCAGCTGCACACAGAGCTCTCGAGGAGGAAGGAAACCCCAAGCGTGATAACCAGCCTTCCCTTCTGAACTTCAGAATCTGTCCCGAGATGAAGCTGGTAACGAGCTGCTTTTACTCAAAGCATCTCTCATTCTAACTTTGACTAACGCTCTGTTGAGGGTTTCTAAATGATCAACCAACTTTCTTCCAAGCAACATTAACAGAACGTTTGTTCAGAGTAATCTAAAACAATACACAGTAAAATAACAGTGAAAAAAACCATCAGTCATGAAACCAATTCAGTTTCAGCTGTAAAGCAGCTGCAGTCGCACAAATAACATTCGCAAACGTGCTTCATAAACACACTGGTGGACGTGTAGAGCATCATGAAGCTGTTTGCTGGTTCTGACACAGATTCAGTCTGATCTGCTCACGAGCTCCAGCTGAGCTCCGGTATTACCGTATGATACCGCGGTATTACCGTCTGATACCGCGGTATTACCGTCTGGCCGCAAAGAACACACTCACACTCACTTCTGTCATATTCATCTCTTTATTTATATATATTTATTATTTCTCTCAGTTTGTTTGGAATCTTTTTTTTTAACCATTGTTGTTACACTTTAGTATTTTTTCCAAAAAAACAAAAAAAACCTGGAAGAAAATGACAAAGCTGTATAAAGGAAAAGAGGGAGGAGCGAGACGTGATGGACAGACGGAGGAGGAGGAGGAGGAGGGTGCTCTTCATCACAGACTCGCACCCGTCTCTCAGACGATCACATGACAGTTACTGGATTGGTCAGACTGAAGATGAAACAGCGGCAGAAAGTGTCCAGTATCGGCGCGTTCGGGCTTTAAACTCAGAGAGACGTGAAACGAAGCGTCTGTCGTCTGTCCGTACATTTGGCTAAAAACATCGACTTGACATCAGAACAGAAATAAAACTGCAAAATCAACAATATACAAAAGCTTTCCCAACAACATCCACAAAAAATAACCGATAAAGCTCTGAAACAGAAAAGAAGCTCATCTGTGGGCAGTACAGGATCTGCCAAACTACCCACAATGCACCAGTCGACGGACGGACGGACGGAATGAAGGAGGAGGAGGAGGACGAGAAACGGCGAGGAAAAGCAAAACAGAAACGAAAGTCACAAAAACTGAAAGTGCAAAAATCACCGCGAGGAAACAAACGCGGCTGTTCTCTTGCAACATAGTAACGGTTTTAATAATAATCGTCATTCTTTTAATAATGTCATAACGTTTTTACAGAAAACAAGAATAATGATGATCATAATTCCTACAGAACATTAGCCATAAAAATGCGTTAAAAATAAAGACAGAAGTGAAGAAAGTGGAGAGCGAGTGAGAGTCGGCTGTCCCGGCGGAGGGGGTCGATCGTGACCGGAATGATCCGCCGCGGCGCAGGCTTCACGTGAAATACTTTGGGTTTGTGGCGTTTGGTAAAGACGTCTCTTCATGTGTGTGTGTGTGTGTGTGTGTGTGTGTGTGTGTGTGTGTGTGTAAGACTCTGTGTTTGCCTTGCACATCGGCGTGCGCGAGAGTGCTGCTATGGCAACAGTAGGAGGGGCTTGGGGTGCGGGAGGGGCTGCAGCCAATCAGAGACACTCCCAGCGGCACGGAGCTCCGCCCCCTGCGTGCAGGCCACACCCACAGCACCCCGACAGACAGACGATGAGGATTTGGCATGACAGCACAACACAGCAGACGGATATGAGCTTTATACAGCAAATACACCCCTGCGAGAGAAAAACACACAAACACGCATTAAAGTTTCAGACCGAACCGTGCTGACGCCGTTCACACCGAGAACGATTACTATATCACCAGCATACCATCATGTTCTGCTTATTGTAAGCAGGCTGCAGTTGTCGTTTGCTGCTTTATGTAATTTTTTTGACTGTACTAAAGCATAAAAATACTAAAACATGAAATATTTGGCAGCCAAGCTAAGTTCTCAGAGAAACAACACTACAGTCAGTTATTCTGCTTTGAAGCATGCCGTGGTGGAATGTGTTATTGTTTCGGTCTGTGTGACTCCGCCCACTGACAGTTTAACCAATAGTATTTCAGAGTCAGGGATGCCAGATTCCACCCGACCTAAAAAGCCTCCGCGTCCATCAAAAAAGCTCTACGAGCAGAGGAATATTAAACACAGATAAACCAACTCATCAAGTGTTCATTGTTAATCACACTCATTTCTGTTCTGTGTCCTCAATCTGGCAACCCGTGTGAGCATGGAGTCTGAGGAGGGATGGGAGACACCATATTTTGAATTTAGACGGCAGTGCCCATTTTAACCACTAGCTGTCAGTATTACACACCGCACCTTTAAATCCAGATGGATTCTGATTGGTTGTTGATGTTTTTAATCTGTCATCAGCTGGAAAACAGCATGCATCATTAAAGCTGAGATTTGAACTTTGCTTCTCTTTTAAATTTAGCATCATTTTTCAAACTATATCTTTATGGTCATAGTAATCATCCTTTGTGTGAACGGGCCTTAAATAGGGTCTAATCACTTTTCACAATACACAGAAAACAATCATGTTAATGTTCGTAATTTGTTAATTGTCCACATTGATCAGTTCAGAGCTGAGTGATAGGATAATTAACTTAAGAATATAAGATTTACGGTGCATGTATGGCTTCATGTGAGTGTGAGTGTGTGTGTGTGTGAGTGTGAGTGAGAGTGTGTATGTGAGTGTGAGTGAGTGTGTGAATGAGTGTGAGAGTGTGTGTGTGTGTGTGTGTGTGTGTGTGAATGAGTGTGAGAGTGTGTGTGAGTGTGTGTGTGAATGAGTGTGAGTGTGAGTGTGTGTGTGTGTGTGTGTGAATGAGTGTGTGAGTGTGTGTGTGTGTGTCATACCTGTGTTCATTAGACCCCGGCCTGCTCCACGCTGTACTGCAGATCCGGGGTTTTGTAGCTTAGCAGCATGTCACTGGTGCAGGAGGACGGGTAACACGCGGCGGGGTGAACGTCTGCCTCCACGTCACACGCTAAACACACACACAACTCCGTCAGTGAGTGCGCACACGTATGTGTGTCTGTAGTGTGCGTTTACACACCTGACCCCTCCCTCTGCTGCAGCTGCTGGCTTCCTGTCAGAGACGATTGGCTGAGGATGTCTGACATGCGGGCGGAGCTTAGCGCCTTCCCAGCCAATAAGCTCATTCCAGACATGGGCTCCACCTGATCCTACAGGAAGAGGTCAAGTGGTCAGCGCTGGAGCTGCGTCACAGACACACACACACACACACACACTCTCACACTCACACATACACTCACTCTCACACACACACACACACACACACACTCACTCTCACACACACAGTCTCTCACACACACACTCACTCACTCTCACACAAAATAAAGTGTCTTTACAATTTGAATATTATTATTAAGTTGACTTTTTCAGACATTTTCCCAGCCCTAATGGAATGTGATGGTGTTTCAGATCTGATCGGGATGTGTCTGGATTACGTTAACTAGCGCTTAGAACTGATTTGACCATAGCTACACAGCTAGAAGACTACTGGTTAACATCAGGGCTAGTCGCCTACAGCAGCATTATTACATTCTGATGAAAGACTGTGAAAACAAACGTGATTTTTCGTACACTACAGAATGCCAACAATGCAAAAATGATCACAGACTGCAAACACACTTTAGTTTTTAGAAGTGAAAGAACAAATCATGTGTGACCGCTCATCATGTGATTTCTCTTCACCACCTGTGATTTTACAGTGTTTATCAGTATTTTACTAAACAGATTTGAGTAATTTGGTATATTAACACGATTGCAGTGAAGGTTTTTTATTTGTAAATTTAAGTTCAATCTGTGAAACTTAAAACATTGCCAACAGCTGGTGCTTTTTACTGTACATTTCAAAGATTTTTTTTTTAACATTGAACATTGATTTCATGTTGACTTTAAAATACACAACACTGATATCCAAAATGTATGTGGCGTGAATCCAGTGGTTCTCAGCACAGTTCCCGGTGAAGCGCTCAGTGTTGGGAATCACTGCGCTCCTCTAATAACAGCACTGAGCATCTACTCATCATCCCGTCTCTAATCCACTGGAGCTCAGCCCGACTCGGCGTGATCCCCAGTGAACGCGACGGGACACACGTCTACCGCTAGCACTGGCCTTCACCAGCAAGTACCTCAAACGGCCGGCGGTCAATCGTCTGGACTGATATACTGTCGTCTGGGAGAATCTCGCAATATTTACACAAATCATTTCCACAACAGATTCATTCAAATCATCTACAAACACTAAACATGCCGAACTGCATTCAAACAAACATAAACAGCACTGATTCAAATTTACAAGAACATAAAAACAATAAAATTATTAGATTTTTTTTATAACAACCAAAAAGCACTAAACAAATGAAAAGGACACAATAATCAAGTGTTTCCGCGGCGCTCGCGTCACCTGTGTGTTTCCGCGTTATCTGCGCTCAGCTGCTTCCCCAGAACTCTGTGAGACGGTGTTGCTAGGAAACCCTGCCGCTGGGCTCCGCCCCCGAGCTCCACCTCCTGCACCTGAATGGTCACCTGCTGCTGCTGCGGGAGGGTCTGCGCTAGTGAGCGGGCGGAGCCTGGCGGAGGCTGCTGATTGGGCAGCGCCATGCGGGGGAGGCTGGTGGGGGGCGGGCTGGCGCTGGGAGACTGGTAGAGGGCGGAGCCATGCTGAAACTGAACCGCAGACGGCCCGCCTGTGGGAGGAGTTTAACATGTCAACGTCACGAGCGACCGCATGTCAATCACACGACAGCTCCCTCCCGCTGACCCACACTGACCGTGTGCCTGCATCATCCCCTGACTCCCCGGAGGACTCTGATTGGCTGGCCTGAAGAGGTGGTTGTTGGGATGCGTAGGAGGAGGACTGGAGGGCTGAATACGCAACCTGAGAGCGACAGAAGCACAACGATGAAGATCTGTGTGTGTGTGAGTGAGTGAGTGAGTGAGTGAGTGAGTGTGTGTGTGTGTCTGTGTGTGTGTGTGAGTGAGTGTGTGTGTGTCTGTGTGTGTGTGTGTGAGAGTGTGTGAGTTAGTTAGTTAGTGAGTGAGTGAGTGTGTGTGTGTGTGTGTGTGTGTGTGTGTGTGTGTGTGTGTGTGTGTGTGTGTGTGTGTGTGAGTGTGTGTGTGAGTGTGTGTGTGTGTGTGAGAGTGTGTGACTGAGTGTGTGTGTTCACCTCTGTAGCTGGTATGTCAGGTGACTGCTGGGCTGGTTTTCTCCATGTCCCAAAGACAGGGCCTGCAAACAGGAAGTCAACAATATCATGATCCCTTTATAGTTACAGTCAGGAATGTGTGTTTGTGTATTTAACCGCACTTAAAACCTTTTTGCCTTATTGCTGCTACCACACAGATCTAAACTAAACATGAGATTTATTTCCCAGCTGTTTACCTTCACAGACATAACCCACTGTTTTTGTAACTTGTGTGTGTTTAAGGTAAGCTTGTGTGTGAATGAGAACTTAGTTTAGTGCTCGCATGCTGTGACAGCCGCTTTCTGTGCGTGTGCTTCAGATGCGTGCGCTCAGAAAACCCTATATCAGAAGCTTAAACTCATATGGTTTAAAACGCATGATTTCAGCACGATAAACATGATAATCAGAACCAAAACAGATGTTTTTAACAGGTCCGAGCTGTAATAGCGCAGCTCTATTCTGGAAAAGGGGGCGGGGAGCAGCAGCTCATTTGCATTTAAAGAGACAGGCACAAAAACAGCGTGTTTCTGCTTCCACTCAAAATAGGCATTTTCAAATTGATATAATAAATGATCTGTGGGGTATTTTGAGCTGAAGCTTCACACAAACATTCTAGAGACACCCGAGACTTATATTACACATTGTAAAAAGTGGCATAATGTGTCTCCTTTAAAACACTTGTAATGTAAGATGAAAGTGAAGTGTTGAGCATGCGGCGCGAGCCGGACCTGTATTTGCTGGTAGAGAATGTGCTGCTGCTGTGTGTGCTCCCTCAGACGCTCGTCCTGCGGAGCCGCGTACATCTTCTGAAGCTGCTCACACTCCTGCACACACACACACACACACACACGTCACTGAGCGAGCGCACACGTCACACGACCAGGGTCACGCGTGTGTTTGCGCGTCAGCACCTGTTTGAGCTGTCGGATCAGGCTGTTGTTCTCCAGCTGGGTCTTGAACGCTTGGATGGTGGCGGCTCCGTCTGAGAAGCGTCTGACGGGAGAGAAGCGCTCCATCGGCAGGTGAAGAGTGTTACAGTCTTTATACGACGACCTGAGACACACAGACGCTCTCCGTTAACGAGTCAGGCTGGAATAACCACAGACAGAATCTCACAAACCGCTCCATAAAAAACACGTCAGATCAACATCAACATCATCAATGATCTGCTTTAGCTCCAACCGCATGTGCGTTCTACAGGAACACACGGACAAGTCTAATTGGCTTAATTAAACACTTCTGAAATCATGCAGTGAAACAGATCAGCACAAATGCAAACGCGTCTCAGATTTGACTTTGGTTTTTCATTCAGCACAATTCTATTGTGTTTCATAACGACCTTATAGAGAGAAAACACATGAGTGTGCTTTATGTGAAGCTCCTCCAGCTGCATACTAACATTATTCCTGCAGTATATAGTATGCATACTTCCAACAGTGCGTTACACGCACTGTATCCCACAACGACTTGATCTTTCATTTGCATCATCTTCGATATCGGATCAGATGTGAACGGACACATACAATATTCCACTGTGAACGCAGCCAGAGAGATTTCAGAGAGGTCAGAGGTCAAACCTAGCATCCAGAGGTCACCGTGAGTCTCCGTTTATTATGACCTCACGCCGCACTTCCTGCGCAGACAGGAAGAGACGCGCGTCATGATGTCATTCCTCTCAGGGTTTGTCCGGTCAGAGCAGCGCTTTCAATGACAGCTTCAGCTTTAACTGCAGCACTTAAATACACGTATATCGTTACATTTATCTTGAAATACAGTCATTTAAAGAGAAAAAGAACCAAACAGAATCAAACACCAAGCATTATGCTCTAGATCTGTGTGCCGGAAAACACACAACTGTCTGTCAAGCTCCAAAAATTAAACAAATAAAAGTAGAAAATAAATAATAACTAATACATAAATTATATGTATATAATAATAACACAATATATAGTAATTTAACAATGTAAAGCCTGCAGTATCATGTTTGATACCTCATGATCAAACTTTGCTGTTAAACCCGTTTCTCACACAATCTCCTGCATGTCTTCTGTCTCTGATTGAGAGTTTAGTGTTTTATCCAGACGAAGCTCTTTTAGTGTAATTGTAGAAACGTTCAGCTTCAGCTGCTGCTTCTCGTGTCAGATCTTGACTGATTTTGATCAAGTAAGCGTCAGAATAACTGCAGTAATATCTGTGATTTTGTGTATAAGTGTGTGTGTGAGAGAGTGAGTGTGTGTATAAGTGTGTGTGTGTGTGTGAGTGTGAGAATGAGTGTGTATAAGTGTGTGTTTGTGTGTGTGTGTGTATAAGTGTGTGTTTGTGTGAGAGAATGAGTGTGTGTATAAGTGTGTGTTTGTGTGTGTGTGTGTATGTGTGTGTGTGTTCAGCCCTCACCGGCAGTGTTGTTCGGGGCTCCAGCCCCTCTGCCGGTTTCTCTGTGTGTCTGCTGAGAGCTCGCTGACTGCGTGACCGGGGCCCGTGCCGTGTGTCGTGTGACGCTTGGAGCTGTTCGCCAAATACCTGGACCACAGGAAGCAGCACGGATCAGCGCTCTGATTGGCCGCCTCCAGCCTCTGGAGGGCCACACACCCAATCGGCACACAGAATCAGAGCGGCTCCGCTCGTCACACGGCACTCGATTTAGCAAAGCCATTAGACAAAAGCAAAGCCACAGAAGGGAAGTTTGCCGTCGTTTGGCACGAGAGAGAGAGGTCAGAGGTCACTTTAGTAGCACTTTAGAGGAGGAAATCTGGAGGATTTAGAGTCGTTTTAGAAAGTGATGCTGATGGACAGAAAGAGACAGAGAGAGACGCCCAGAGCTCAAAGCAGCGCTGCAGTGTTTAGTGTGTCACTGAGAGAGCAGCTCACACACACTCTCACACACACACACACACACACACACACACACACACTCACACACACACACCCACCCACTCTCTCTCACACACACACACACACACACTCTCTCACACACACAC